TATCCTGAATGAACCAACTTATTTTTGGAGAATGTTTGTATTTTCCAACAAAATGAAATTAAACATAATGGAAATTTTTACATTTGGAAAAAAGCTCGAAACATCTGTATGACTTGTGTTTCAAGTATGTTTCTTTTTCTCTCTTTCTTACAGAAATGCATTGCTCCTGAGAAAGTGAACACTATGAGGTGTTTGGATTCTTTTGAATAACTGTGCATGAGGTTCTGATTATGTGAGTCCCCCTGGGAGGTTAGAGGAGGGGGAAAAAAAAGTAGCATTGCAGTTGTAACTCATACAATTTAATTGTTCCTCCTTACTGTTTTGCCAGCATGATAACGAGCAAGAACATGAATCTAGCTGATCCTTGTCTCGGCTTGGAAGCTAAACAGGATCAGACCTGATTCATAACTTGGATGGGAGACTACTGGGGAAAGGGATACTACTGTAGAACAGTTTGGAAAATTGTAAAACATCCTTGAAGAAATCAATGGCAAACCTAGTCAATGCTGTTGCTAAGAAAACTGCATAGATGTGTCCATAAAATCACCAGGAACAGCACAACTCAACACAAACTTTTTATTAGTTAAAGCTATATAAATTCACACATTGTTCAGACATGACAGGAACTTAGACAAGAAACAGAGACCCTAAAGGTCTCAATAGTCCTTGATTATGTGAATTATATTTTACTTAAAGGGTCTCACTCTGGACTGGCTTGATTCTTACATAAATGTGGGATGTAATTGCAGGACTGTAGGCCAGACGTGGAAGTCAGACCAAATGTAATAACCAAAACCTTTGACAGAGTTGCCATGAACACTTTCCAGGAGACTTTGAGTTTTATGAGCTTTCAGCTGCGTGAGAAGGAATTGTACATTTGATTTGGCCCATATTGCTTCTTCATCTACAGCAGCCTTTCGGAATGTGAGGTCCACACATGAAAAAGTTCATTGCGGCCTGCAGAATGTTTGATTACTTCTTTTCACAGTCTCAGAAATATACCAGGAATGTTAAATCTATCAAGCTCCTTACAGCTTGCAATACAAAGGGAAAGACTGCTGATATGGAGAGAGGGTTACAAGTTATGCAGGCTTAATTTGGACAGTGATGTCATGGGTTCCCACCACAGAGAAACTTCTCTCCTATAGTTGCAATAATGTATGCTTCTGTGCTCGGACCAAAGAAGAGCTGTTAACGTAAACCCAGTAGGCATACCTTGATTCCACTGTTATTTTAGCAAAATCATGGCACTCCAGTTTTCTATAGTTACAGCCAGCTGGGCCAAACTTATCACTTAAAGAAGCTTCCCCCTCCCCACCACCATTTCAGTTCTCTGCAGTTTGAGTCCTGCTACGAATCAGTCCTCAGTCAGAGATCTGTAACGCTTAAGGGCAGAACATATGAAGCAGATACCTGGTGGTCCTGGATCCCCTCTCATGCCATCTCGTCCATCTCTTCCAGGTAGCCCATTAGCCCCTGGGGTCCCGGGAATTCCTGGAGCCCCTGAACATTTGCCCTCCTCCCCATGACATGGTAGGGAAAAAATAGCCAGAATTGCTGCCACACAGAGCAACATAAATGATGTCATTTCTGCTCAGCTGGAAAAAAGAAAAAGAAAAGAATATGCATTAACGTTTTGCAGCATGGCTTGACAAATGAAGCAAATCATATTACCCATTCAAAACCTTAATTATGAAATTTCAAATGCTAAGTTCACCCACTCAAAGTTGCTTGTTCCTATTATGTTTATCTGACCCAGCAACAAAATGTCATGGTGGGGAAAGTACACCATAGAATTCAGCAGAACAAAGAAAAATAAATATGGCAATGCAAAACATAATGGATTATCTCCAAAACCCAAAAGAATAATTTTAACCATTAAGACTGACAGCTATGTGCAAATTGAAATCACTGTAATTTCCGAGGTCAACCTACCATTCTTTTCCACGGTGACAAGAAGGAATGGTTTCAAAAGCATCTGGTTTATACTGTATTTATGCTTGGGAAATATCAGATTTAAGTGGAGCTTTGGTATGTGCTTCTCATGTAAAATAGAACCTAGGGAAGGGTGGGGTTGAACAAGCCGTTATTTTGCTTACAAACTTTATTTATTTGGCAAATACTTGAAATGGGGTGAAAAGCCCTTGATGAGGGGGGGAAAGTTATGAAAGTCTTCCACTATAACATATGGAGGGAAATTCACCTGGCAAAACAAGTTGATTCCAAAGAGATGAATTCATAAGAGGATGAAATATTCAAAAGATATAAGACCTTGTATACTGAGTCCCACCACAGGTGGAGAGAATGTTCCTTTCCTTCTGAAGACCTACTTGCCCTCGCATATATCTGCCTACAATCCAGCAATGGTGTATCAGAAGGAGGAAAAGATCTGATTGCTCAGCAAAATGCAGGAAACAAGGATTCATTTCTGTATCTCTTGAACTTTGTTTTCCAATTAGGAAGTGACTTCCTCCCAAACTCCCATGTCCCAGCTCATGGACTGCAACCTGCGGCAGGGAGATCAATATGGAAGATCAGTCGGATGGATTTGTTTTCTACTGGGGATTTTTGGAGACCAGGTTTGTTGAGGCCTGGGAGGGTCCCATTCTGAATATGAAGAAAATGAATGAAGAAAACTTCAGATAAAGAAAGTAAAAACACAGAAAGGTCAGGTTCTATCCAGGCCCCTTCCTTGCTGTGGTAGTTTTCTGAATGAAGAGAAGATTGTTGAGTGTGATTTCCCCATATGAAATCTCAAATGACACCCTTTCGTATCATGAATCAGTAGACCAGGCTTTAGTAAGCCAGCATGTCCCAACTCATATTGGAGATGTGAGGTAGGAAGGCTGCTTTAGACAAACACAAGAGTGTCCTGAAACCAAGGCCATTAGAGCACAGTTTCAACCCTGCAACCACAACTGAACTGAGTCAATAGAAGAGAATTGAACTGAGTCAATAATTGAACTGAGTCAATAATGACTCTCAGAAGAACCATTACGGGAATACAAAGGCATCATTGATATTCTGATTTCTTCTGTATGATGTTTTCCTAAGGTACGAATACTCGATGAATAAAACCATGGACTATTAAGAGCAATAGTTATTTAACATAAAACTTCTCTCACTTCTTGAGTAGATCAAGTGGAAAACTATAATCTTAGCTTTATTTTGAATGAAAAGAACATTGTGTTCATTCGATCCAAGAGCTGCATATTGCTGCTGCTTAATGATTCAGGCACAAGAAGATCACTCAACTGACCTGAACTTGCTGTTGCTTGGAAAACATGGAATAAACAAATGGACTCAGGGTTTCCCCCAAATCCATTGGAATAGCCAGTAGATCCTGGTAAGATCCTATGATCCACTTTATTGCAGGACCAGATCTGCTCAGATCTCAAAGGTAGCCTTTGGCCTTTCAAGTATGTTTCCATAGGTGACTTCATGATTCTGGGATGTGGGGACTATTGCGTTTGCCCAGCTAGATGGCAGAACCTGACTGAGCTCAAAAAGGCTGAGCAGGATCAAATCTGGTGAGCATTCAGGAGGGAAAGTAACATGTGCATCCATGAAGGGGCAAAGAGTAAGTATGGGAGGCAAATAGATACCATTTCCTGACTTTTTGCTGATTAGAGTAATTTATCTTCTTGTTTTTCATCAGTGCAGACTTTGACTTGTTGAAAACCACATTGTGAACATCAAATCATCAAGCTAATGGATTGATTAGCTCTGGAAAAGCAACTGCAGACAGAATTCTTAGGAACTTCCCACAGATCTCCAAAGAGGAAAGAGCATTTGTTATTTGTCTTTTAGTATGGGTGATAGCTCACTATCCTACTGATCAGGTCCTTGTGCTCTTTCAAAACTATTCGGACAGGCTTCCAAATTAGGCATTTGATTGCCAGGACCCTTCCCCTTTGCAAGCACCCTCAAATGTGCATTTTTTTTAGGTAGCAAGGACTTGAATTCTTACTTTTCCAAATATAGAGAACTAATGAAATATCCATTACCTCGGCTGTAAATCACTGAGCCCCTACAAGTCTAAATGGAACTGAATAATCAGATTTGTTCCAGGACAACTTCTAGCATGACTGCAGTTTCAGAATGGCCTGAAGCTGCAAAAATCAGTGTGACCATGAGGAAGCAGTTAAGAGATATGCCCAAAGTGGTCTTCTGGATTTTTCCTCCTGTGATATAATAGTCCTAACTAAGATGGATAAAGTTTTGTGGATTTTTTTTGGGGGGGGGGGGGGATGTCAAAACTACATTCTGAGACTTGCAATGATTTCCTGTCTCTTTTTATAATTAAACATGTAAGAAAATTGCATTTGGAATGTCTATAATTGCATAACCAGGGTAATCATTAGATGGGAGCCAAGAGATACCCAAAACTCACTCTTTGGTGCCATCTAGTGATAATATGGATTATTTCACCATGGTCACTTCTTCAAGCCTGCATAATGCGCTGAGTGTTCCTTATTCAAGACACCCATGAAGCAGCTTCTAGTTTAAAAAAAACAGAACAAAAAAAATCCCCCTTCTTTGTGCAAATTGGCTAATCAGAACACCTATAAAAACTCCATTAGCACCATATGTGTAGGCTTCAACTGGTGCAAAGATAGCTAATGTATAATTAATGCAAAATTAAATGGTGAGCAGAGACTCTCCATAAAGTTTAATGGCTGGGAAAAGAAAGCTATCTCCAAATAATTTGTGTTATTTAAGACATATTTTTAAAAGGATCTGTTTGGTCAGGCTGGAAAGTGTTCAGTACACATCTGAGTCATGCAGATAGCTGTTTCTGAGAAACAACACATTGTGAAATTAATCAGGTGCCTGCTCTTATTCCCTCTCAGCATTTTGTTGGCATCTAATGAAAAGAACAGTCTGATGACAATCCAGAATCCTTTTATACAGTCACCTAACAACTGTGAACAGCACAGTGTGGTTGCAAGTCTGCAAAAGCAAAAGTCACAAAGCTCAAATGATCTTGGCATGGTCTTGCCTGACCAACGTTAATATCCACCCATTTAAATCAAGATGTTTGACTTTGTTTATTGGATTTTTATTTTGGGCAGATCTATAACTTCTGCAAGTTTTATTTGGTTGAAACTGAAAAAAAATCCTGGCTGCAATTCAGTTAAATAAAAATAACAAAAATTGTCTTCCTTGTCTCAAACTTCAATCCTGGTGACTTTCTGGATATGTCCATGAAGTGTTTTGGTAATAGCGCTAAATGTGATTTTTCATTGCGTTCTTCCAGGATGCTGTTTTCCAAGTTCCCAATCTAGGCTACAGTCCTGACTAGGTTTTCTGGTACTCTTCTGTACAACCTCTAACCAGGTTTGACATTTGTTAGACTTTATAAATAGTTAGGTCCTGAATGCCACAATCATCACTTATACTGAGCCAGTAAATTTCTCCATAGTATTGGATTCAACAGTAAAATTGCCTTCAGGTGGAATTCAGCTGCAGATAAAATCATGACTATATCAACATAGTTTTCTTGGCCCCAAGATGGAAGTATTTTGCCACTGTCTTATGCCAGGATTCCCCCCTCCCCAACTTCCAAGGCTAGTCTACAGCCCTGAAATTCCCCAGAGGGCTAATACAAGCCTACTGAGTCACATCTGTCTCTCTGTCTGTCTGTCTGTCTGTCTGTCTGTCT